CATATTGTTAATAGAGGTTTGAGTTGGGAGTGCTGATAGCCCATATTGTTAATAGAGGTTTGAGTTGGGAGCTCTGATAGACCATATTATTAATAGAGGTTCGAGTGGGGAGCCCTAATAGCCCATATTGTTAATAGAGGTTTGAGTGGGGAGTCTTGATAGCCAACATTGTTGAAAAACGTTTGAGCTTGTGGGTTGCAAAGGAACAAGTTGAGGTTAATTCCACACTGAAAAGCAGAAAGGAGGGCTCCATACCTCAAATGTTTTTTTTTATTCTTCCTTTGTACTTTTTGACATAATTATTTACCTGTTTCTTTTCACATGGCTAATATACAGTCAAATCGGTTAATATTATACACTACACCAAGAAGTTTCAAGAAGGCTTCTACTTTCATTAAAGCAACGATACACCATGTTGTGAAAAAGTCCAAAAGTTTAGAGAGTACAATTTGAAAGACACATAAACATGTGACCTTTGCTCATCGTACCAGACAAGAAAAGCATGGTGTGGCTGTGGAAAATGAGCTTAACATTTTCTTTTTAACGTTTGGAATTAAAGCAAAGCTTTTTGTTCAGTGGGATTAGGTGGACCAAAAACTGAGGAAATCCCTGTTTAATCTCATTGGCAGAAAAAGGAAAAGGTTTGCAAGATAAACACGAACAGACTGCAGGCAACACCCTCATATAGAGTGAAATTAAGAAACAGTGTCACCACCCTTTTAGAATCTTAATTAAGTACATAAGAACAAAAGAATGGTTACAAACAAAACGAGGCACTTCAGACCATTAAGCTAGTTTGGTTCTTAGTAACTAATTGATCAGAGGATCTAATTCAGCTGTATTCTTAAAGGAAGCCAAATTATTGGTCTAAAACATTTTGCAGAGCAGCTTGTTCCAGGCACCCATAGCCTTTGTGTAACAAAAAACGCCTTCTGTTCTCAGGTCTAATTACGCTTCACCATAGTTTCTGCTTGTGTTCTTTAGTTCCTGTTTGATATTTTGCACATTGCCAGTACCTATAGTCATCTTTGTTCAAAGCTAAAAATATTGAGTTATTTTAAGCTGTAGGATGTTCCAAAATGTGAGCCCTGGGCTGGGGCAGACTTTCAAAGCACTAAAAATGACAGGAAGTCATTATGATGTACACATGGTGTGATAGAGTCAAGTAATCATCTTACCTGAATACAGTGCTGAGGTAAATACAACAGTAGGTGCAACAGCATGATATGTCATAGAGTAAATTAGAGGTCAACATGACAAAACAAAGACATGGTCCCCCAGACACAGCATTTAGAAAAATTCAAGGAAACAATGTGACATGCTTTCACAACAGTGCCACCACAGTGCTGTGGCACCATGGAAATGGACTTATTAGCCAAAAGCAGTAATACAGGCAATAAGGTTTCATTTAAACCCCAGAATTCCCAGCAGTGGCCATTTGCTATGGCTCTTCCTGGATATCTACAACACCACAGCCCTGTAGTAACGATCCTCATCGTGATTGAGATAGATAGATACTTTATTGATCCCGTGAGGGAAATTGCAGTGCAACAGCAGCTAAACACACACAACACAGCCACAGTGTAACGAATTACACAGTGTAACGAGTTACTCACAGTCCGGACACACAAAGAACAAACTAGAACAGAACAGTACACAGAAAAATCGTATCACACATATGAATATAAATATAGATGTAGATATAGATATGGATTTAAATATAGATATCAATGTATTGCACAGGTCCATGGCATATATTGCACAAAAAATGGTTGTAAATGGGAAAAAGAAAAAGAAAAAGAAAGAGAACAGATGTAGCAGTAGATGTGTAGATGCGTTTAGTCCAGAAACAGGTCACTGTAGTGTAGATCCCATGTGTTCTGCTGTTGGAACCTCCATCTTCCATTTCCCTAATTGTGGGATACTATACAGATATGCCCTTGGTTATTACAGAAAGAAATAAGTTTACATATTTTATATAAAACATTGCCTTTAAAATAAATGATCTGGTGACATCTAAGCTCTGGGGTGACCTCAGAAGCCTGCCTGTCGGCCACAGAGAACGGCGGTACTCAGGTGCCAGTCACTCACAGCACTGGGTGCCCTTGACGGGGTCTGGAAGACCGGTGCAGATTCCAGGGGTGTGGGGCACTGCCACCCTCCAGCGCGAGCCCAGGCTGTCGCACTCCGTGTACTCGAAGCGGTAGTCCGACTGCAAGACACACAGCACGCACACACTGTCAGCATGGCATGACAACACAACTGTGTGACCCATCCCAGCATAGCCCAGTCAGAATGGATTTGACAGAGTTTAACGCCATAAATGTGTAATCCAAGTCACTCATTTTAAACACAGGTTTAAACAGTAGTGGGAACTCATGCAGTCTGTCCTTGCTTGAAACAGACAACACCACAGGAGTCTGGTTCATGTGTTAGTGGGGATGATTCATCATAAATGGCAATATTCCACAAAATGATGCATTTCTGACATCAGCACAGCAAAAAAACTATTTGCATTTTGTACCGTCCATTGGAGACAAGCGCACTAACTAAAATAGAAAGTAATGAAGAGAATATTAAAATCTAACGTCCGCAGGTTTGATAATACTGCTGTACAATACCGGACAAGAGTCGGCAACACAAGGGACAAGGAACTGAGCTCACCTTCACCCAGTGATCGGTTTGTCAATAAAAAAGATCTTTAAATTTTCCTAATATACTCCAACAATCTGTAACATGAAAGTTTCCAAAGGTTTTATAAACATTACTCCGATATCAAGTGCAAATCAAATACAGTTCTTACTCTACTTGAGTAATCCTTCTATGCAACTCTACAGAAAGCTATGCTAGAAATCCCCTCAAACCTCGCCAGAATTACTAGACTATAATTACAAAGAGCATAAACTGACAGATGTTCGCTCACCTTAGAAATAAAAGAAACCTCAAAATAAAAGAACCTTAGAAATGAAAAATAAAATATAAAAACTGTATGTTATGTCAAAAAACGTTTAACTTGGAAATTTCATATGTTTGGAAATGTTGCCTGGATTGCCTGTTTTGCATATTGTTCTACTCATACCTTTTGTGGTATTTTGGCAACACTGTGCGGCAAGGTTCTGACATCTTTTTATTTTATTTTGGAAAGAGTGTGGAACAAGTGTATGACTGTATAAATCCGGCATTGAAAACTAAAGGGAATGTAATCAATTTCCTTGTACACTCTATTACACCAGTAAAAATCTGCCTGCAAACACTGATCCTGCTCGGGGAAGATGTCTGTTTGCCCTTAGTAAAAATGGCCAACCCCCTCTTTAAATAAAGCACTTAATAAATATTTGTCCAGGAACCTGCCTCACCCTTCTCTCTAATCTCCGCAAAGGGGCTGTGTATGTTACCCAAGCTCTCCCAGGAACAGGCAGTGGCTCAGAAAGGCTAATTTACCTATACAAGAGCTGACAATAATTTCTAAAGAATTAGTTATATTGTTGCAGACTTTACAGTGCTGCCCTTCTTCATGTTTTTCCACAGGTTTGGGTTTTCTGTTTGTGGTACAAACAACAGCTTGTTAGCCACTGTTGTTCCCAGTGCAGGTACAGTATCTTAAAGATTGTAAAGGCCAAAGTCCCTTTCTGAAACTGTTTTAAGTGACACATCCATTCATCCATTTTCTAACCACTTCATACAATCTAGGGTCGTTGGGGGAGCCAGAATCTATCACAGCAAGCAATGGGCGCACAGCAGGATACACCTTAGACAGGATGCCAGTCCATCACAGCACCAACACAGCCAAGACAGAAAGCCAAATCGCAGACATATTCATACCCACACTCACACCAGGGTCAGTGTCAACCTAAGGGTGGCAAGTATTGAAAAAAAATGCATTACTTAAAACAGCTGTAGTAAACTGCTGCTATTTTGGAAGAAAAACAACAGAGTAGTAATTCTTAGAAATACTTTACCACAGAAACGTAGACCAAAAGAGCCATTTGGCACAGTGTGTTTGTTGAGCATGTAACATTAATGTAACTGTTTACACAACCGATTGCCTTTAACTATGCCTGCAGCAAAATTTATTTCTAGCACCTTCAAAAATGGGGAAGACCTAGCTCAAAAACACAGAAAAACAGTTCTGATTGCAGTCTAGTCTTTGAGATCATTGTGTGTTCAGAGTGACTAATCCCTTTAACCTATTATGATGTCACTTCAGGAGGTAGTAACCAAAATGATGGGGTCATATAATCCTTTGAAAAACATTCACCTGAAATTCTGTATTTCTAGTTTTAGCAAGAGAGAAATATAGATGCTATGATGAAGAAATAAAACCACATACTTACTGGCACCAATTTAAAAAGAAATGCAGAGCAAATATTTGAGAAATATCACAATGTAAGACAGTAGGCTAGGACCTTTTTGAGAAAGGTAACTGGCAAACATTACTTTTTAAGGGCTTGCTATTAGTTTTTATTGAGTTAACACACAATCACTGGAGCTTTGTGTAGAGTTTCAGGGCTTGAGTTCCAAAGATGTCCAGTGTGAATGCACAGTACATCACCAGGTGCTGCGGGCAGTAACCCGCAGTCACAGTTAGATCTCCGTGCAACTGTCAGTCAGTCTGCATTCTGATACTCTCTTCATGAGCAATCATCACAACGCACCCAACAGAAATGAAAACCAATCAGCAACTTAGAAAGAGAAAAACAATTTCTAAAAATGAAATCGAATATACATATAAAATGATCCCAACGAGAAGCCAAACATAATTCTATTCAACGCCAGTCATTCATGGGAATCAGTCACAGTGTTCTGCAAGGCACATTGCAAAAATGTGACTTTAAGGTAACTTTAGAATCAAAGTGGTTAAGTTGCTCTCTACGCTTTTGGGACTTTAGGCTGGAGACACACCAGCTCTGCAGTCATGTGGGGCATTCATCAAGACCTTTCGCAGATTCCTGGTTGGTGTGCAACTGTATGTCCCAGGGATGTCGTCAAATTGACACCCAGAAACGTTTACCACTGAGAGATCCGCACTGTGTCTTACAGCTCTATTGTCTTTACACCACACATCTCCTCAGCCATGTCTGCGTCACAGTACCGTACCCACATTTACCAGACTATACTGCGCACATGTTCATTTTCTCCATTTATTTTATATCATCACATTAAACCTTCAGAAGCTTAAGAAATGCTGATCTGGGCCAATGAATATGTTTATGGAGTATTGACCTGATGCAGGTTCCCACCAGGGAGAAGCAAGAGGCTCCAGCAAATCGAAAAAGCCACAAGCAGCTGCTGGGCCACAGCTTGCAGTAATGTCGAGGTTGGATTTAATCAAGGTCCTTATCACTGTGGAGAAAATCCCATCAGAAGCAATATCCCACGGGATGAAACATGCTTTGTTCTACTGAAAAAGCTGGATGACGCAACCTTCTAATTTTGTTTTCATGCAGGTCAGATAATCCTTCAACCTGGTACAGGGTTTACCTGTAGACAACAACATCCCAGCCTTGCTAGGCTTACGAGATACAGTACATAAACAATACACTCTGTAACACATCTGTCCTCTGATCCCTGTATTTATGAGGTGAAACCGTGGCAACAGGTCAGGCAGACACAATGTTCTTTTTTCATTTCCAAGAAACCAGGCCTTCTCCCCACCTCAGTGAGCCAAGCTAATGATCCCCCTGGAACAATTACAAAAACACATATCTACACAGTGAATTTTCCTATGATCTGTTTGAAGACTCAGGTAATAGACCTTAGTTTCAAATAGAATTCGGTATTAATTCAAGGTCTTGTGGTCATCTTGAAATAAAATAGAAAACGATTTATCAGGCAGCCAGTTTGTATAATTGTTGTTTGTTCTTTGTGTGAAAATGTTTGCATTCTGCAGCTCAGTTTTGAATGTGTCATCACAGATATGTAAATATACACTTCCCACCACAGGTAATGGTAACAATGAAGTAAAAATTGCTATTTTTGCTGTATACTCAAGCAAGTCACATTTCAGATGAAAAGATGATTGTGAGGCAAAAGTACAGAATCTCTCCTTTTATTTCTGGGTATTTCTGTGCTTATACTGTACACTGTGCAGTTTTGAATTAATAGACGTTTTTGGGACCGTTGGCTGGCAGGTGTTTCGTATGAGTCTGGTGTTTCCTGTTGAATTGATAGGGCAACATAAAAGAGCTGTGAATGTGAAGAACTTTGCTCTTCTGTTTGGTGTCTGCCTTTGGAGTCAGTAGGCTTAAACCAGCATGAGGACTAGAGAACTGTCAACAAGGTTTGGATATCTATGCAATTTGGATGCAGAATGAAAAGAAGAATTCCATCAGTACCATAGCACAGAAGCTGGGCCCAGCAAATTCAACAATGTGGTATATCTTAAAATGGGAACAAAGCCACTGGTATACTAAGCAATCGGCAACAACCATGCTGGCCGAGCAAAACTGCAGTTCATTATAGAAAAACGATCAGGAGCGAAGGCATCGCAATCTACTGTTCGCTGAAGACTTTGACAGCAGAATTGTAAAGGCTGCACTGCAAGATGCAAATCTCTCATCGTCACCAAAAATAGAGAAACCGTGTGAATGTTGGCTCACACCCCCTCAGCTTCACACAGTCTGATAAAGTCACTGTCTGCACACGGAATGGGCAGTTGGCACTAATATCTGTAGTATTTAAAGTACTGCCCCCTCCTGCTCTAGCACTCTGTCATCATGAGTTATCCCCTTGAGAGTCCTGTCAGCAGTGCTGTGCGGCGCAGTTCTTTGTTGTGCTGTGCAGTACAGTTCTATGTTGTGCTGTGCAGTACAGTGCTATGCGGTTTGGTGCGGTGCAATGTTGTGCTGTGCGGTGCAGTGCGGTGTTGAGCTGTGTTGCGCAGTGTTGTGCTGTGTTGTGATGTGCAGTGCAGTGCGGTTCTGTGCGGTGCAGTGTTGTGCGGTGCACTGCGGTGTTGAGCTGTGTTGTGCTGTGTTGTGTTATACTGTGCTGTGCGGTTCTGTGCGGTGCGGTGTTGTGCTGTGTTGTGTGGTGCTGTGTTGTGCTGTGTTGTGCAGTGCTGTGCACCAACCTCCTGCTTGTCTCCCGACTGTGATTCCAGATTCTCCCTGGCTTTGTCTACACTCAGATTCCCTAGCTGTGAGCCTGTCTGAATCTGTGTTTTTGGAAACCCCTTGCGCTTTGAAGTGTGATCTCCATCTTTGTTCACTC